AACATGGAGAAACAGAATGGTTCCCAATTGGCAAAGGGGTCAGGCAAAACTGAATCCATTCACCCTTTCTTTTCAACTTGTATGCAGAACATATTATATGAAAATCAGGATTGGATACAGAGGTAGGAGGAGTGAAAATAGGAGGAAGGAACATCATCAATCTAAGATATGCAGACGACATCATACTATTAGCTGAAAACATCAAAGTCATAGAGCAACTACTGAAGAAGGTCAAAGAAGAAAGTACAAAGGCAGGCTTACTGTGGAACATAAAGAAAACAAAAATAATGACCACAGAGGATCTTCACAAGCTCAACCTAGACAATAAGGTCATAGAAATAGTAAAAGAGTTCCTATACCTTGGATCAAACATTGATCAGAACGGGGACTGCAGTCAAGAAATCAGAAGAAGACTAAGGAGGGATGCAGATGGGTGGCCGTGGGTCGCCCTGAGAAGCGGAGGATTGGGGCCAAGGCTGCCCCATGCCTTGGCCCCAATCCACCCTTTTGGCAGCTGGGAAAGGAGCACCAAAATAGCACTCCTTTCCCAAGCAATGGAAAGGGTGTCGCAAGAGCCGCCACATGGCTCTTTTGCGCCTCTTCCAGTGCAGCGTATAAAAATGCTGCACTGGAAGGATGTCATCAGAGTGTTCACCGTGTGCAACAGCAGGTGCTCTGATGATGTCCTTGGGAAGGGGTTGGAGTGTCCGGCCTCCCAGTTCCCCTCCCCTTCCCTGGCTCCAAGACAGCACTTTGCACCATCTGCAGAGCCCCTAAGAATGGGAAGGGCAGCTATGAAAGAACTGGAAAAGATCCTAAAGAACAAAGTCATACAACTAAGCACGAAAGTTAGAATCATACAAGCAATTGTATTCCCCATTACCACGTATGGATGCGAGTCTGGTTAGTTTTAAAAAATGGACAAAAAGAGAATACATGTATAATTCTAGAAATTTTAGTCAAAAAGTTGACTTCAAAAACCTAAGTCGACTTATTCTTATAAAAAGAGGAGCTATCTCCTGGTGAAAGGCAAGATCATAATCTGTCCTGGAAGCACTGATCCCCCTCTACTCTTTCTTCCATCCTGCCTTTAGTGTAACCACAAACAGTTATGCCTGCTGAACTTTTATAAGTTATTTGACATTGTTTTTATTTGCTTTTCTTCTGGAAATTTTGCTTTGTTACATGACCCAAAGTTTTAGCCTTAACTTATCCACTGGTCATATCAAAATCCATAATTTTGGTCCCAAAACCTGCCCTCGACTTATACATGAGGCCAACTTATAGTTGAGTATATACAGTAAATTAATTTGAGATGTGGTGCTGGAGAAATGTGCTGAAGATACTGTGGACAGCAAACAGAACAAATAAATAGGTCCTAAAACAGATCAAGCCTGAATTTCCTTCGAGGCAAAGATAACTAAACTGAGGTTGCCATACTCTGGCCACATCACGAGAAGGCATGAATCATTAGAAACAACAATAATGTTAGGAAAGGTGGAGGGAAGCATGTTAGAATATGAATGGGTTATACAGTCAAAGGTGAAATGTAGAGATGTGTGTGTGGAAATTTCCTCATGAGAACAACATCTAGAAAAACAAAGTGAATCTAACACCAGATAGCTACACAGACATAAACATGTACTTTCCCAAAGGTAGAACTCATGGACACAGACAGTGGGGGGAAGCAGACAGGTGGCCATGGGCCGCCCCAGGAAGCTGCGCTGCGGGACCGAGGCATCCCCACGCCTCGGTCCCACAGAGCAGCTTTGCCGCCCCTGAAAGGAGCTCTAAATTGGTGCTCCTTTCACAAGTTGATGAAGGTGTGCCGCAAAAGGCTGCGGCGCACCTTCGCCGACTCTTCCGCCGCAGCGTGTGCAAATGCTGCGGCAGGAGGTCCTCCTCGGAGCGCTGGCCGTGCGGAGGGCCAGCTGCTCCAAGGATGACCTGGGAAAGGGGTTGGGGCGCCGATTGTGCGGCTGCCCCTCCCCTTCCCTGTCCCCAAGACGGCCCTTTAAGCTGTCTGCTTAGGGGGTTTGTTATAGAAAGCAAGAGATATAAAAAAAGGTAAACAATCATTAGGCTGGGAAAGGACATCACGTGGGGGATGATGGACAGCAAGAACCTGGGTTAATATACATCATACAAACATTATCCAATTAACATAAGGTTA